CTACGTAATCCAATATATATGGAGAGTCTTGTCAGTTGATTTGATCCAACATATGTGGAGATTTGTTTTTGTTTTGTCCTTTTTTTTTCAAAAAATAGAAAATTATCATTTAAAATATTAATTAAAGAAAAAGAACAGATCACTACTTTAAAATATTTTAATCAGAAAATTTTTAATAAAGAAAGTAACAGAACTATAGGTGTGATCTTTTTTTCTTAAGGCTACCAAAAAAAATAGAATTTCTATATTAATTGGAAATACGTGATCATTTAAATACTTTAAAAAAATTGATAGTAGTTCTAAAAGACAAATCAAACAAGTTTATGTGTTTCAAGTGAAAAGATATATTTTAACTTAAAAATATTCAGTTTCAAACAAAACAAACTTAAATTTTTTGGATTTGTTTCCTCAAAAATATCTAGAGATAAAAAACTAAAACAATAATGTATAAAAATCACGTAATCCAATATACATGGAGAGTCTTATCAGTTGATTTGATCCAAGATATGTGGAGATTTGTTTTTTTATTTTTAATAAAAATATCATTTAAAAAAAATCATTTAAAATATCTTTAACAGTGAATTTTGTGTGTTGAAATGACTAATTATGCTAGGAACTTATGATGTATATCACGAATTATTACTCTTTTGTTTATTATATGTTTTTTATATTCTATATTTTACACATGCAGAAGACAACATTATTTGTTGTTGTTTTCTTCCATTTGCCTTCTCACTCTTTCTTGAAATTCTAAGCACCAAATTTTTTTAGTAATTTATAGAGGGTTTTTTATTCTTTTCTTATGCTACGTATGTGGTTGCAATAAATTGTAATAAAGTGAAAATTTATTTAGTATTAGGGGATATAAATTTCAGTTGGAAATTGGGAATCATGGACCGTTTATTAATGTAAATACTACCAGAAATAGAACCTTCATTCTTGTTCTACATTTATCGTTTTTGATTACTTTATTATAAAAGCTCGTACAACTTTGGTCATTTTAGATATCCGAGAAAACGCCAAAACATTATCACTTCCGCCTTCTTTTATTTTGTACTATATTTTTCAGATTGTATCGAACGTACAAATGACGTATACATACTGTTCAAAGTATTGTCTCTGTGTGATTCAAGAATCCTATAATATACATGTCTTTAATTTACTTCACAAAAGCTAAAACGACCATGCATTTCCAACTCTTGTCCTGATTATATCTGAACTTTCACATGCTTCTTACGATTTACTAATGGCTACAAAACAAAACAAATACTGTTGATCTTGATGTCAATCTTAGGAGTGGATTTCACGTTGCAGCATCATATCACCACATTTGATTTTCCAAATATCTCAAAGACGGTATAATTGAGAATAGTATCATAAAATATCGCATTTCGAAACATTTCGTGATTTCATAAAATTCCAGATTAATTATACTAATATGGATAATAGTGTGGCTGTCATAAAACACATTCATAGATCGGTTTGGAGTCAGGTTGAAGTTGAGAAGCAATACTCTTAATTCAAAGGAATTCACTAGTTAGCATAGACATTAACTGTGTTATGCTTTGCTTCATGATACTATCAGTTGTTCCTTATTTAAAAAAAAAAAAAGTAAAAAGGTCATGTTGCGCAAACCATCATGTGAGTGATCAACGCATTCAAGGACATCTAGTTCAATCTTCACACATTAAATTTCAATTCAATTTGGAGAAACACATCTCAATGCTCTTGATTAGTGGGGTTGTTGCCGAGAGAACAAATGGTCTAAATACTCGATGTCGAGTTGATTAAGCTGAATTCAACAATTTTTAGAGCATAAAGTGGTAAATATATGTTTATCTGGAGATAAAAAAATCGGATAAGAGCGAATATGAGAATTATGCAAAGATATTTAGAATATCAAAATTACATTTAAAAAAAATTAAGCAACTGGCGTAAATTTTGTTGAAACAAAGTTTATTCTGTTTGTAAGATAAATTAACCTATAGTTATGATGATCTACAATTTTTCTTGTTAAAATTATGTTGTAATTTTATTAAACATAAAATTATTATATATATCATATATAAAGGTTAATATTTATTAGTTTATTCAACTAAGCAACTACAACAAAATTCTTTAACTAAGTTTTGTAGCTTTATTTAATCAATAATTTATTTTAAAAATTCAGCTAGGTTCAGCTAAATTCAATAGTTACCGTTTACATTTCAAATTATTCCGTTAGATTCTACAATAAATCATTAAAAATTCAGCCAAATTCCGCAATTCAGTTACATTATGCTGTTACCATTTAAATCCGTAGAATATACTTCTACGCAGACAAGTATTTATCCGTCGAGTTACGTGCTACATCAACATCATATATATTTTAAGCCACCAATTTTTTTTTAATATAAACATGTGGTATTATAGATCTTGAATAGCTTCGCCATCACTATCCAAGATGATAAGAACCTCGTCATATTACTTCGACGTGAAGGGACGTTTCTTAAGTGATGCATCGCAAGCTTTTGCTAGTTTATGCTCTTTCGACATAAAAATTTTCATGCTCTGAATTCAGATGAGAAATTCGGATGAATTTAAAGCGTAAAAAAGAGAGAAATAAAGAATAAGACAAATACCTTTCTGTTTATAATCTTTTCTCATTAACTAAATTTGTGAGTAGTTTATACAAACACTATGAATTCGTTTATATATAAGCCTCAAAAACTCCAACAACTAAAATTTAGAAGCATGATATATTTTTCTTTTTACTATAA